AATACATAAGACGCTGTTGTCGTGCTTATTTAATTCTAAACGTTAGTTTGCCAAAAAATAATAATTCATAGATTTTCTGCATTCATGGCACGAGCAAGCATAAGTTTATCATTCCATTTCCAACAACCAAAAATGCAAAACAAGAGAATCTACAAGGCGTTCATAGATCCAAAGTGTATGAATCGATTTAATGATGTTGAGCAAATAAAGCATCTGATTAATTCGAAAATTTTCCCGCAGTTCGATTAGTATTTGACGATCACGGAGATTGAGGCCTGACTTAAGAAGTAAGTGTTTCAAACTGTATTTACCTTCAGGTGAATCTTTGAGTGGAATCATCAAAAAACTTGTTAAGAATAGGGATGTTAGTGTTAATGGATCAGTCAAGATACAGACTTCCTTAATGCCCCTAGCAAATACTTGCTTCCGATTTTAATAGGTTTGTAAGTGAAGCCGCGTTTGTAGGCAGTCTGCTTTCCCTAAACATTTGCTGCAAACAGAAGCCAGTCTCATTTTATTAAGCTACGATTCGTTTTTCGCCTAATTTTGTCCTAAAATTTTGCAGACCACGCCCCTTTTCACTCTTAAGCTGTGGCCAATAACTAGGAATTCCAATTTGCTATCTAAAATCTTTTGTTTCAATAACAACCGAGTGGTAGAAAGGCGGACATTGCTAAGTCGACTTAGGCGAGGTGACACGCAACGTAACATGCGCTTAATGGGGTCTAAATGCGTCTTTAAGGCGGGTATCAAATACGTGTCTCAATGCACATATAACAATTTTGTTCTTCCTTCGTAAGTGTGCGTAAATTAAAAAAAAAAATTATATGAAGTCTGCCAAGACGTCGACAAGCATTGATCTAACATAAGAAAGTGTGTACGTACACTATGTGCTTGATTTACTAACATCTGCCAACAACACGATTTAATATTCTCAAGTGTTTATTGTGCTTTGTATTTTGCTGCACATCAATAAGCGCGAACATGTTACTTAAGAAAAACTTTTGTGTTCTGTTGTTGTTTAATAATAATAAAAAAAAAAAGTCAGCAAAATATTCATTATAAGCAGAATGAACAACAACAACACTTTAGAAGAGAGAAAGGCGCCTTTACAATGAACGAAAAAAGGCCAAAGAAAGACTATTGTTTATTGTTCACCCAACAACAAAAGATATTTAATAATTTTATTTATTACTTAGAGTTTAAAAATATATGTAAAAACGTAAACATTCTTCACAAAAGAAATATTTAAAAATTTATAAGAAAAAATATGACGACACAAATAATTGCATTTTTTTGTATAACTTGTTGCGAATTTCTTTGTTTGCGAAAACTATTCATATATGTTTTTCTTTAATCAAATAAACATTTTCTTGTTGGACATATTATTATTTGCCTATTGTAATCAACCTAATGGAAAATCCTTTCTTGTTTTTTATTGCGCAATTTACCGCAAAGGAAAGGAAAACTATTACTATTTTTTATGGCACTTTCTTTTAGTATCCATGGGGGTATGTTGTAAGAGCGTCATCATCTTTCAACAGCAGGCATAGTAGACGCTTGTTGGTTGGCTTGCCACGTTTTTGTTTCTAAAACCGCAAACCATAATATATAAGCTCAGTTTTTCCTAAGTAAATATGGGCAACTACTACCACTCGCGGCCTTTTAGGTGATCATTATTATCATTATTATCAATAATACCAAGAAAAAACACAAATGCTATCTTTGTTCTATCCCATGCTTTGTGCTGATTAATACATCCACAGCTATTCTTCATTTTGTGAGGATATAAGGATGATCTATAGTATGAAAGAACGTATCCAAAAATGGAATATGTATTATGTAAAAATTTGATGACTAACTGAATGTGTCTTTTTCATGTTTTCATGCCGGTATCCTTAAACATTCACTAAAACATAAATTTGCTGAAAAGGCTCAAGAGCGCATAGAGAAGAGAAAATGGAAAATTTTAATGAATAAAGAGAAATATATAATAAAAGCGAACAATTTAATTAAAAATTTTTAACTAACTCAATAAATTTTAAGTATCAAGCCTGGAAAAAGGTACATTCAGTTTGGCTTGAAGTTTTTGTTTTTAGTTTCGCGAGAAAATTGCATCCACTATGTCTATAATCCCCAACCAATACTGCTTGTCAATAGACAACAAGTGGAACAATTATAAAAATATACGATTGCACCCGAATGCTCTGTATCCGCCATCATATATATATCAAAAAGGCAAAGTAAGGCAATGAAACAGAAAAAATGAAGTTTCAATACTTGATAATATTAGATGGGCATCCCGATGTGTGGTGGAGTAATTGATTTTTTCCGTTTTTGTGTAGACAACGTCGGACCAACCATAGCACATACAACTTTATAGTTTTATCGGTTTTTAACGATGATACATACTATTTCTTTTTTTAGTGAGATCACTCCAGATCGTCCAGAACATGTGAAGGCCAAACAGCGTTACAGACAGTAAGACGAACACTGGTAAATTGTTGCAATTACTTAGTACCGCCTTGCATTATTGCTACTTCCTGTCGTATCTATAGAGAAATGATAGCATCCCACATCGAAGGTAAATTGTTTAATATAAAGTAGAGAGTACTTTGCGATTTCACAAAAAAAAAAAAATGCTGATATGTTACAAAGAACAACCACGAGCAATTGAAATAATGTCAAGATGTTACTGCTATTTATGAAGTTTCTGAACATTTTTATATCCACCACTGCAAGATAAGGGTATACTCATTTTGTTTTTTTTTTTTCGTAATATATGTAAAAGGAAGCTTCAGAGACGCTATAAAGTGTATATATTCCTGATCAGAGTGCAATTGATTTAGCAATGTCTGTTCATCTGTGTATCTGTGTAGTGTCTGTTGTTAGCGCTCTCTTGGTCGCAAAAATCAAGATGTCAACTTCAAATTTGGTAGAAATATTGAAAGTATTCGCACGCAGGTTGGTATTGAAAGGGGGCCAAATTGGTCGGAGTAGAAGCCCGCAGTGGAACATAAATTGACCGCAACTCAATTTTTCTTAACAAAAATTTTTCGGTTTTTACTCATTACTCAAAAATTATAAAAGTTAGGAGGCTGAAATTTTTCACATTTACTTTACGAAATAGTCTACGCCACTCTTTACGTGCAAAAAAGAAAAAAATCGACCATGCCCACACAAAATTACAATTGATTAAATGTTATTTTTTTTGAATTTTTTGAGGTTTTGTGCTTATTTATTATAACGCAAACAAGACAGAATGTTTAAAACTACGTTGTGCATTTCTCAAAGGAAAATATATTATCTGTCTAAAAACGGGTTAATTTTAAAATTAATATGGTGGGCACCGCGACCTTGTGGATTAATTTTCTTTTAGTAATACCAACGATATGGGTATCAAACAAAAAAACTTGGAGAGTAGAATACGAAAAGCATAGTTCTGGATATGCAAGATTCGGCCCTCGCCGAATGTACCTTTCTTACTTGTTTTTTTTTGGCGGTCTTCTTCCTACGGTCCCTCTCTACCGCAAAAAGCAGGTTTACTTGTTGATTTAAATAATTTTCAAATAGAACAAAATTAAGCTAAAGTATAATTACGGCCGTGGAGTTTGAAAAGTGCTAATAGATGGTCAATAAAAAAGTTTGTGGAAACATTATGCATTTTCGTTACGAGTTCATGCAAAGGCAAATTATATTTATCTACAACAATGACGTATGAACGTATTTCTTTCAATCCATCACGCATTTTAAAAATCTTTATAGCTCACAGATCTAAGCAAACTTATTCTGATATGCAATTGCTTTTCAACTGGTACATCCACTGCGCTCCAGTTAAAAGTTGAAAGTTATATTACATACATGTATTAGAAATAAAACAAGAAAGCATGAATTTGTAATGCGATTAACTGTTCTATATTCCAAAGGAAAGGAATAACAACACATTTTCTTGTAGCTAACAAATGATTCGCCTTAAGCCAAGTTTTTTCCTTATTATTAAGTTCATTAGCTTCCGTTTACCGGGCTTTTATTTTCTTTCTTTTTTTTAAAAAAAGAAAATAGCAAAATTCACCGTTTCAGCGTTAATCTATTTACTATACCAAATAAGTACACATTTTAAAGCGAGCATTTTATAGAGATACTTTCAATCATCGTTATAACCAAGACTGGCAAAATTTTCAATTAAAATTTACAACACGTCATATAAGTAAATAGAGGAAATAAATAATAAAGTTACTGCGTGTGAATAAAAAAGTTTTGTTAAACATTTTAATACACTTAAAAAAAACGCTTTATTATTATAAAAAAGTTTTAAAAAAGTTTGAAAAACTAAATACAAAACTTTTAAAGTAAAAATTATTATTACTATTATTTTTAAATTTTTTATATTTCCTTATAACTTTTTGAACTTTGCGAATAGTGGACTGCCTGAAGGATGAGAACATCCATATCCGTCTGTCTATGTATGTGTTTTGTAGGTGGGATTCGCAAATTCGCCTTTACAGGAGCGATTTGAGTGTTGAGTGATTTTTTTTTATCTT